GATCCTCAGATCTCAGCCTCCACTGAGTAGCTAGGATGACAGGCGTGAGCTACTGGGTACCATCCTGCTTCACCCATTGTTTTGTCTATCTCTTCAGGTGAGGAAGAAGTAGCAGCAAGAAGTTCCCGGATTTCCTGGTGCGCTGTGGGGAGTGATGAGCTACGCAAGTGTGAGCGCTGGAGCCACCTAAGCCAGGGCAAGGTGACCTGCACCTCGGCCTCCACCACAGAAGACTGCCTTGCCGCTATCCTGGTAGGTTGGGCAGTGTCCTCAAGATGTGTGTGTGTGTGGATGGGGGGGGGGGGAGGGAGGTCAACGGACCCAGGCCAGGGGGCCTTGTGCAAAAGAGGTGGAGGGTTTAGGTCAAGAAGTGGGTGTTGTCAGGCCGGGAGTGGTAGCTCACGCCTGTAATCCTAGCTACTCAGGAGGCTGGAATCTCAAGGATTGGAGTTCCAAGGCTGCCCCGGCAGGAGCGGGGTGGGGAGAGGGGACTCTTCTCTTCAATTGCATTAGCCAAAAGACGAACCACTGGAAGTGGAGTTGTGGTTCAAGGGGTGGAGCACCAGCCTTGAGTAACAAAGCGAAAGGAACGGGGATTAGGCCCCAAGTTCAAACCCTAGGACTGGCCCCCCCACCAAAGACTATAATGGAGGGAGAGGAAGGGGCTCCCCGTATCTTTTATTGTAACAATAATTGAGGATTATTGTAGAAAATAGGAAAATGTGGGCAAGGTTGTGATATTAACATAACACCAAACCGGGGGAGGGGGGGCGGGGGGAGAAAGACACTCACAGACACAATCGGCTGTATCTGTACAGAAAGCCGAGTCGGACGGTATGAGTTTGGATGGAGGCTTCATCTACACTGCTGGCAGATGTGGCTTAGTACCTGTCCTGGCTGAGAACCAAAGTGAGTGACATGGGCCTCCCTCCCCTTCTCCAGGAGGCTGGGGTAATGGGGGTGGGGTGGGGAGGGGCTAAGGACCCAGGGGAGATGTTAAGATGGATAGATCTGTTCATACAAGAGGCTCAAGGGAAGGATTAAACAAAAGGAACCATGTTCACACACACACACACACACACACACCACACACAAAGCTGGGGCGTCTCAGTAAATCTCAGTATTGAATGCCATGTTACTCTTGCTTTTGCTTTTTGCAGAATCCACAAAGAGTAATGGTCCTGATTGTGTGAACCGACCGCCTGAAGGTAAGTTAAGATCAGTTGGTCAAGAATAAGTTCTTAAAAATTGGGTGCCGGTGACTCACACATCTGTCATACTAGCTACTCAGGAGGCTGAGATCTGAGGATCGTGGTTCAAAGCCAGCCCAGGGCAGGAATTTCCGTGAGACTCTGATCTCCAGTCAACCACTAGAAAACCGGAAGTGGCGCTGTGGCTCAAGTGGTAGAGCGCTCGCCTTGAGCAAAAGAGCTGAGGGACAGCGCCCAGGCCCTGAGTTCAAGTCCCACAACTGACCAAAAGAAAAAGAAAGAAAAAAAATGGTCAGCATTTGTAATTAGTTTGATTTCATAACCCCGGACAGTCTTCCTGTGATACAGGACAGTAGCAGCAGCTTTTTTTTCCCTCCTTTGGTCTATGGTCCATGTAACGTTTGAGGCCAATTATTTGATGATGCTTCTAGAACTGTTTTGGCCTGAGTTGGACACAGCTATATTTTCCACATGCTAGATGTCTCCCAGCTTGACTTGGTCTTCTGTTGTCTGTTTCTCAAGGCTACCTGGCTGTGGCATTAGTGATGAAAGAAAATGCAGACATCACCTGGAACTCTCTAGAAGGCAAGAAGTCCTGCCATACTGCTGTGGGCAGGACTGCAGGCTGGAACATTCCCATAGGCCTGCTCTTCAACCAGACAGGCTCGTGCAAATTTGGTAAGGAGGCCTCAGGGTATGGAGGGAGGACCATTCTGTGCTGTGGAACCTTCTGGAAGGAAGAGGGTTTGCAGGCTGCCAGGGTGGGGATGGGGGAGACAGGTGGGGTAGGGGTGGGGGTCCTCTTTAGATATAAACAAGTAGTCTCTGTATTATCCTAGCCAGCTACTCAGGAAGCTGAGATCTGAGGATCACGGTTCGAAGCCCGCCTAGTCAGGAGAGTCCCTGAATCATTTTTATCCCCCCCCCCCAGTCCTGGGGTTTGAACTAGGGGCCTGGGCACTGTCCCTGAGATCTTTGTGCTCAAGGCTAGCTAGTGCTCTACCATGTTGAGCCACAGTGTCACTTCCGGTTTCCTGGTGGCTTATTGGAAATAAGAGTCTCACAGATTTTCCTGCCTGGGCTGGCTTTGAACCATGATCCTCAGATCTCAGCCTCC